CACTCACGCCTGTCACCCAGAGGGGTAGGCAGAGACTACAGACTTCCATTTGGCACGATCCTGACACACCTCTCTCGCCTCCTTCACATCCATACACCTCCGCATACATGCTCGTCGGTTAAGGGTACTCCTAATTTGGCCCGTTTTCAATAAATCGCCAATTTGGTCGATAAATTTTCGCCTAGGACGTCCCTTTCCGACTCTGCCATTCACTTCTGCAACATAAATTTTCTTTGTCACTCTTTCCTCATTCATTCTTTCCACATGACCAAACCACCGAAGCATTCCTTTCTTAATCCTGGTCACAACATCATCTTGCAAACCACACTCTTCTCTTATTACACAATTTCTTACCCTGTCATTAAGATTCAGCCCTAACATACTCCTTAACGACCGCATTTCTACTGCGTTCATTCTACTCTCGTGCTTCTTCTGCCACACCCAACTTTCACTACCATATGTTAAAGTAGGGACCAACACAGCATTGTGAATTGCCATACGTGCCTTTTTCGACACATTTTGACTCTTCACAATAGAGTGCAGGGCCCCATTTACTCTATTTCCCGCATTCACTCGTCGTTCTATATCCTTATCATATCTCCCATCCCTGCTAAATACGCAGCCCAAATATACAAACTCGTCTACTTGCTCGATCAACTCCCCTTCTATTCTTATTTCACAAATCGTTTTACTTTCTTCTCTTTCAAAAACCATAACCTTCGTCTTACTTGCGTTCACTTTCATACCCCTTTCTTTTAATGATCTGTTCATTAATGTAACCATCATTTGCAACTCGGCCGCCGACGACGCAAGTATAACTTGATCATCGGCGTACAAAAGGCATTTGACGGTTAACTCACCCATTCTTAATCCGCATTCTTCAACTTTCAAATTTTGCAAACAACTGTCCATAAATAGGTTGAACAGCCACGGGGAAGCTACACAGCCCTGTCTGACACCTTTATGGATGTCAAACCAGTCCGAGTAGACCCCGTTGATCCTAACACAAGCACTAGAGTCCCTATAAAGGGACTCCAATGCCCGTATCAAGCCAGCGCTCAACCCAAATGAGTTCAGTGTTTGCCATAGCACATCCCTATTCACTCTGTCATAGGCCTTTTCCAAGTCCATGAACGCACAAAAAACCTTTTGGTTTTTGGCCAAAAACTTCTCCGCGATCATGCGCATGGAAAAGACTTGATCTGTACATCCCATTCCCTTTCTAAATCCTGCTTGCACATCCCAAATTTTTCCATCAGTTTCTTTCATGACCCTTTCAATCAGTACCTTAGCATACAGTTTTCCCACAATGCTAAGAAGGCTGATGCCACGGTAGTTTTTACAGTCCTGCTGCGACCCTTTTCCCTTATATACTGGGACTATCACGGCTTTGCACCAGTCTACCGGTACCCGCTTCAGTTCCCAGCATAAATTAAACAAGGTGTGCAGCAGGCCTGCCACCACTTCCTCTCCAGCCCTTAGCATTTCGAGTGAAACTCTATCATATCCGGCAGCCTTACCTGCTTTCATGCTTTTCATTGCTTTCATTATTTCACCTACACTAATCTCGCTACCTCTTTCCTCTTCCTTCGGAATTTCTACTTCACTTAGTACACACGTTGTCTCCTCACTCATAAACACGCTTTCAAAATATTCCTTCCATCTCTTTAAACTCAAAACTTCATCATTCAGAATATAGCCATTCTCGTCTCTTATAGCATTCATCATAGGCTGTTTTGAATGTCCCCTGGCAGTTCTTACAAGTTTCCAGAACATTTTAATATTTGCCTGGAAATTATCCGATATTCTTCTATCATTCTTATCCGTTCTTTCTTGCTTTTTTCTTTCAACTACTTCTTTTACTCTCTTATTAAGATGTCTAAAGACTGCCTTTTTTCTTTCAATATCATCATTCGTACCGCTAGAATTACCAGCCTTTGTTGCTAGTAAATCTAGCCATGCTCTCTTCTTTGCTTCAACTTCCATACGTACCTCATCATCCCACCATAACGTATTATTTTTCCTTTCATTCTTTCTCTTACTAACACCACATACTTCGGTAGCTGCATCCACTAAACCTTTCTTTACATTTTGCCATACATTCTCCAAGTCTAACTCCTTCATACATAATTCATCCAAACCACTTATATTTTCTTTCAGTCTACATTTGAACTTCTTTTTTCTCACCTTCATCTTGTAACCTTTCTGTTCTAATACGCTGTAACGCAGTGGTAGACACAGATGACCGATGGCGCCAACGCCTGAATAGACCATTAATTCGGCATAGAACCAAATAATGATCCGTTCCTACGTTAGAACCCCGGTAAACCCTTGTATCTACAACTGCGCCCCTCAATCTTTCATCCACAATTATTAAATCTATCATGCTTCTATCGTCACCTCTTTCCCAAGTATACATGTGAATCCTCTTGTGGCGAAAGCAAGTGTTCGTCACAAAAAGATTCTTTTCCATGCATACGGTGAGGAGACTTTCACCATTCTCATTTATACTTTCATCACCAAACGTTCCCAATATCCTTTCATAACCAAGCCTCCTCACCCCAACCCTTCCATTAAAATCTCCTAGCATAATAATATTTTCATTTCCCTTACACTCCATTAACACCATCCTTACCATTTCCCAAAACTGCTCTCGGATATAAGTGGGCTTAGACATGTCTGGGGCGTAGACCCCTAACACAAACAACTTCTTTAAGCCCACTTTCATTCGTATCCACAGCAGTCTTGGGCTTACACATTCATACTCTTTCACACATTGGCCCATTCTTTCTGAAAGGATGATACCTACTCCCTGGCATGCCCGCTCGATCTCGTCTACACCAGACCAGTATGCGGTATACATGCCATGTGTAGTGACATCCTTTCCCTTCCTTTCGTCTCATTTACACATAACACATCTATTCCTCTATCATTCATCATATCGCATACTTCATCCATTTTATCATTCATTGCCCCACATACATTCAACGTAGCCAGACGGACCTCTGCAATCCACTTTTCGCCTCTCCGGGAGACAGAACGTGACGGGTGGCGAACCTCGTCGCCGGTTTTCCTCCCGACGACACTTTCAAAATTTTACTGTCTGACAAAGCAACAGTATTTTTTAGACCACCTTAACTCAATAAGCTTCAAAATACAAATCACGATGGAGTTAGAAGCAAATAATACTTTAGTTTTCCTAGATGTTTTAGTCATCCGAAATCCTGATAACATTATTGGTCATACTATGTATAGGAAAATGGCCTATACCAACCGATATTTAAATGGTGAATCTCACCATCATTTTTCATAGTTAGCTACTGTGGGTAAATATTTGTTTCAGAGATCACAGGAGATCTGTGACAGAGTACATCTGACCGTCGAGCTTCAGCATGTCAAGCAAGTATTGCAAGACAACAAGTTTTGGGTCCCAAGCCGACGTCACAGCGACCGAGTAAAGCCGGCCACAGTCGGTGGATGGGTGCTGCCATCTGCTTGGGATCCTATAATTAACAAAATCTATCCAAAACCAAACATATACTGCAATACTTCAAGATACTGTAAGCTCGTTTAATGTAGACCGGGACCAAAAATCAATATTCAAAAACTGAAGATAGCTGGGCTAACTATGATATTGAGATGGCAAAAATCTCGGTCCCCCCCCCCCCCCGTGACCACAAGTTAATTAAACACCATAAAATCCATATAATTATATAGTTTTATTCAATGTGTAGTGTACAAAATATATATATATATATATATATATATATATATATATATATATATTCAAAAATTGATCAATTCATTCATCTATCAATAATCAATAAATCCCAAATTTATCGATCAACGTCCCAACCCTGTCCCATCACTATGATTCGGAGCATTCTAAGTTCAACCTTGAATTATCCAATCACAGCACATTTGACACGTCCCCCGCAACTCGAAATTTGGTGAAATCGAAACAGAACAAATATTTATTAGGAGGTAATCTGTGATTAATTCATTAATTGAAGGCTTGTTTTTATACATAACATATCACAAATAAAGTATTTTATGAGTTTAGCTATTGTTTTTCCCTACCCTTTTCTTTTTAAGTATTATATGGCCACATTAAAGGTGCTATAGAGTGACTTCAAAGATAAGAAATCATTTTAAATACTTTTAAACTTCATTATTTTTAACAGCTGCTATGAAATGTTAAAAGTTATTCAAAATTCTTTTTTTATTTTAATTAAATTAATAGCCTGCTTTTGTACAGCTTGGGGCACATTTTGGCCACCTTTTTTTATAGGATAGGGTGACAAACGAGCACACAGTCCACCTGATGGTAAGTGGTTGCTGTGGCCGATAGACATCTACATCTGTCCTCGATTACGAATCCAGATGCGGATGCGTTGTCACCCGTGAGGACTAAGATGGAATGCCTCGTTTCCAGTAAAAAGGGTCTCCGGTTCTCTACACTCACCATACGAAACACAGCAGCATTAAAGCTACTATTTGACGCTGGTATTCTGTGAGACCGTGGTCCCCCCCGGTCGAGCCGACCCATTCGTGCTACAACTATACTACTAATATAACTGCAGCATAGCTCTACCACGTAAAATAATATCTTTCATTTAATATGAAATCATTTAATACGAAAAATTTTGGCGCAAATTATGGCGCGCGTACGGTGTTGACAAATTCGAGTTTATCTTTAATTGATACCATTAACAACATCGACGTCTATTATGCTCATTCGAATATATAAGTATAAATTACGTTATTTATTTTTAAAAAAAATTCAAAACCTTATTTTCAATATAAAACAGTTTGTGCAAGCAGATAATGCTTGTGTCGCGTTTCTGGATATTCGTACATGTGCAAAATTAACGTTTGTAAAATACCTCCACGATAAGGGAGAAAATACTTTTGCGGTGGTATAGCTTTTTAATTACAAAAAGAAAAATATCATATAATTGATTCCTTAAAAAAGAATTACTAATGTGTAACCCCAATACCTCCTTCTCTCGTAGTTTGATAAACTGGCAAAGAATATGGTCCCGTACCCGCTGAATTGAAAGCACTGACCGATACGGCGTATCTGAAATTAAAACAAAACCTACATAAAAAACATGAATCGTTTTCTTGTAAGCACAACTTCTTTGTGGAATCGTCTGCCAATAGAAATTTTTCCGGACAGATACGACTTAGAAACCTTGAACGAAAGACCCTATTTCCTTAAATTCCGGCAACGCACCTGCGATTTCCCTGGTGTTGCATTTGTTCGCGATCGGCGATAGTCACTTGTCATCAGGAGAGCCGAATGCTCCTTTAACCCCTCTTATATAAAAACACTGTTTTATAAACAATAGTACATAATTGTCCGTTCGTCCATTTCTTTTTACCGGACTACCGCAAATGGATAAGTCTATTTCTTTGGTGATCTCTGTAGCCTAAACGGATTGACAGTTTTTAACATATAGGGGGGTTTCTTTTTTAGTGAACTTTAACTCTGTCAGGGTTATTTTTAATTACTGTTTAACCATTTAACATTGTTTCTATATTAACTTGTAAAGCTCCATTGATGGACAGGGGCCCTCTTTGATTGACGAAAGGGCTTGCCGTAACAACCTCGCTTGAAATAGATTTACGATCGCTCCTTCCTTTGACACTAACCGCCGTAGGTCTGGATATTTCATAGTATATATCGTCACTGGAAAGGCAAAATTACTGGAGCACCAAAAAGCCATTTCGAGAAAAAGCCATATTCATTTATTTTTAAACAAAAAAAATCGTATCTTTTTAATTTATCATCCGATTTCAATCAAATAACTTGATATGTAAACCTTATCCATTATTTTATTTTGTATTCATATCCTGTATGATACTCTGAAGGCTGTTTTGGGAAATAAGTGGTGGATAAGTAATATGGCCTCATTTCAGAGTAAGTTAAATTTATTTAAACGCCTCCAAGTAAACTTCCTTTGCCATTTAAACGTACTTATAACACATAACATAAGAAATGGGAGTACGATAAAATTTCTTTTAATATAACACACTGCTATGCCGATGAAGTAAAATTACTTCAATGACATATTTTCCATTTTCATATGTCTAGTACAAGGACTTAAGGGGTAATCAGATAATTTACTAAGTTAACCACAATTTATTTAAAGTAAGTTTGCCGTAATTATATAAGGGATCAATGACGTAAAAGACTAATGACACATTGAATAACTGAAGTGTCCCTAAATAAAATAATTAGATACTTGAAAATTACGTATCAACTGCTATCAATATTAACTAAATGACTTTCTTCTTAGGCCTTTCTTTTTTTCTTTCGGGACCTTTAAGGTAACATGAAAAACCATGTAGTAACTACCACACGCGGCGGCCCGTACCAAATTGTTTACCATCTTAGTTATTGGACGTAGCCGTAAGTTTTCAAATAAAATAGACATTATCAAAGTAACCATTTATTTAAATTATTAAGGAACATTTATAGTAGATATACCTAAAATCACCATAATAATCCCAATTATTTGATAAACTTGTCGTTTCATAGAACCGAATTAGCTTAACAAAATAGTATTATCTTCTTTTTTATTTTTGGATTATTCTTACGTTAATCATATTTCGCTTCATCATCATCATTACATCCCTTCACAAGTCCACTGCTGAACATAGGCCTCCCCCAAGGTATGCCACAATGCACGGTCCTGAGCCACCTGCATCCATCGACTTCCTGCATGTCTTAGTAGGTCGCCACTCCATCTAGTGGGGGGTCGCCCTACACTTCGCCTACTACCAGTACGAGGCCGCCACTCGAGAACCTTTTTTCCCCATCGGTTGTCTGTTAATTCCAGCTATAGGGCCGCCCCTTGCAACTTCAGCTTACTAATCCGTTTGGGCTATGTATATATCCTTATTTCTAAGTTTATTTCAAGCATTGTTCCCTTACGTAATCTCTATACCTTGTTTATTAGTATTTTGTTTGTTCTAGAAATAAAAATTGCTAAAAAATGTATAATTACAACAGAATGTGTTTGAGTGAAATTGAATTCGATATATTAGTGTACGCCTAGGATAAGACTATTATTTGTTTGTATGTGTTTTAAACTTTCTCACGTAAGTGAATTGTTGTAAATTCTTAAGAGAAATAAAGATATCTCAAACCTCAGAAACCCCGAGCCCTCTCTGCTTAATATAATTTAAATCATGGCACAAGCTAAAGTTGAGAATCAATGTTTTATTTCAGTCTTCTTACTTACTTACTTAAAAAATACTTATACTTAAAAAATAGACTTTAAGATTTAAGATTAATTATAAAACAATAATAACTCTTACGGTGAAACAAACAACAATTCTAATGACTAAGGTACTTATAAGTGTAGTCAAAAAAAACTTCTTTTAAATTTTAATAAATAACTAAATAATCTTTCTCTGAGATTTTCTCATATTATTAACAAGTAGGTAATCAAAAACAAAGAACAATAAAGTAGATGATGTATATGACCATCCCATTATTCTTCGGCAGTTTCTTCATCTTCCAAATCTGTATCAATTAAACAGTCTTGAATATTATAAGTATAGTTCAACTGTTGTACTCTTCATGATACATTACTGGTATGACTCTGTTACACAATTTGTTGAGATCCGTGTATTTTTAACTTCCCACTAAGAAAATTGAAAAACAAAAATCGGGAAGTAATTGTTCCTACCCCGTTTTTCGAAAATTGAGTTTTCATCAAATCTTGACGTTTTGAGGTCACAGGAAGCCACCCTGACAATTTTTCGATTATGTGTAATATAACTTAGATTTCCTATTAATTTTACCTATTTCGGAGAAGTAGATTTTGAGAAATCTCAAAAATAAAAATTTTGAAAAACTTTTTTTTAATAACTTTTAAGAGGCTTTGCCGATAAATTATAAAAAACTAATCAACTTTTAACCTTAAAAAACCACGGCGAACCCTTCGGAATCAAAATCGGTTGATTTGTTCGTGAGATATCGTTAACGAAAAATTTTGAAAAAATTTATTTTTTTAAATTACTCCGATATTTCATATTCAACGTCATCATTTGATGAAATTTGGAGTTATTTGCAAAACGTCACCCAGAACCAATTTTTTTTTAGAAACAATTTGTAACATAGTTTCAATCTTTTTTGTGTTCAATTTGATCAATTTCTTTTATTTGTGGTCGATTTTTTTAATGTTACCGTTCTTAGTTTGCTTATTTTACTGGCCAAATTTCCCCTCGAAATATTTTTCTGAAGTTATGTCTCATTCATAGAAGTCAGTGAACTTTACTTTATAGGGTATCGGTGACTTCCTAGCGAAAGTGAAAACTGTACTCCACTGTGAAGGTGCCAAGCACTTAAGCATTTTTCAATGATGGAATGAACCGAATCTACGCGCATATATGTATACGCAGGAAGCAAGTAATTTATATGTATCAATAAAAGATTGTTACAATTTTGGAGAGTTACATTTAGGCAAGCTAAAACTAAAACTAAAATTGAAGATACTTCATTGGTTCCTATTTTCCCGTCAATTTCAGACGATGTGTAACAAACCTATTTCTGGTGCCTGATTCATAAAAAGTTAAAATTTGTACACTGCTGTAACGTAATTTGCGGCTGTAATAAATCATCATATTTTCGCCGTGAGGCGTATTCAAGACTTTTTTGTGGGGCAAGAATTGTACATGACATAGTATCATACTTGTTATGAATATCTTTATGTGCTTTGAATCTTTTAGTTGTTTCTTCTTTATCCTTCAAATGTTTCCATTTTTCTTCTTCTTTAATGTTTTTGGTATTCTCAAATTGTGTACATTTAAAATACTCGTTTTTTTTCACGGGAAATGAAATCCTATTTTATCGCTGTGAAAACTTTTTTAAACACTTACACAACATACTCTTTGTTAAATGCGGACAAATACGACTTTTTTCAGTGTGAGGGTGAAACACCGGTATTTTCGTAAATTTTCGATGACTGTGGGGTTTTGTTACTGGGCACATGTTTGCGTCTTACATGTTTACTCGCAGAGCCATGAAGAGAGTTTGCAACTGTATTATATTATGTTTTTTGCTTATATCTAGTGTACAAAGCAAAAATTGTTGCCACACTTGTAGTTGGCCTTCGCCTTCGTTAATAAAGTAAACCGTCACAGTGTTATCGATCAATTTGTACCCAGCTGCGGCATCAAAAATATACGTCCTTTCACTAAAACTCTGTCAAGCCGACTGACTTAACCGCCTGCATGGGCACGTTCATTAACAATTTTGAACTATCAAGTCGATACTTATTCAGCAATAATAATAATTTTGTGATTAATAATTTTACTTATGAGATGGTAGTATATAATTGCACAGAAAGGATGAAATACTTTTGTGGCTTTTGCAGAAATTTAGCAGCAAAGCAATGATACCGATAACCCGAAAACTGCTCTATAACAGTCAGGCCAAATTATTGAAACGCCATTCACTCGATGAAAATAATACATCTTTTTTTATCCGCCATGCCTCATTCAAATTTACGTAAATCAAAATTACTTAAACCAAGTTATTATTAAATTCAAAGAAGAGCACAACTACTAATACAACATTCTTTTCCTAACAAAAGAAAGTTAAATTTACTTTGATGGAAATTTATATATTTTTACAGTAAGTAAACATGACCTAAATAACACTCATGTAAAAAATAACAAAAAGAGTGTCGTTTACGTAATCTAGAAGAAAATAATCCAGCTTTTATACGGGTTACTGAAGCGCCACTAAAGTGCCTCGATTGCAATGTTACTTATATAGACCGATGCAGAAAAAATCACTGATTCCGAATATGTATATACTTAACTCAATATGCCCAATTTGGCGATTAAGTAATTTGCTAATTTTTAAAAAAATTTAAAAAAATTAATAATTTTGCCTTTCCAGTGACGATATGATAACCATGGGACAAATAGAGTGGTGCGTACTTATGCGGTCACCTCTCGCCAACTATTTTTTTAAAATTATTAGTACAAATTACAGATAAAAAAATATTTCTTCATCAGATAAAGAATGTAATGTAGTTTAGACCAGATTATATCATTACATATTATGAAGTGTTTATTTCGCTATATAATATAGATGCAAAGGTTTTTCGTATTACCGTGTCATCTTGCTACAACAACGTAATTCTTTATTTCTACTACAGGCAGTAATAATGTTTAAAAAATAATTTACCTTGTATTTTTTAGAAGTCCACTTAGAATAGTCTCTTGTTTTCCATTTCGCGGTGTCACTTTTACCATTTTAGTATACGTGTCGTTGAGACCTTAAAACGATAAAACTACTACTACAAATCGTTGTATGGTTATAAATATTTAAAAGAGGTTAAAAAATATATAATATATTCATCATACACCTGTTTCAGTTTTTACTTTTTAAACTGTTTTTTTTTTCATTAAATGTGAGTTTATACATTCGAATAGAGCGTAACGAACACATACGAGTAGTGTGTTCGTTAGGCTCTTGCCTGTATTAAATTTAATTATGCTATAAAATTATTTAAGATATCCGATAACTTCAAAAGTTTATAAAAACAAACACGTTCTAGCTGTAATGGTTTTATTTTTTTAGTTAAGAGATAATAAAATGTTACTTTCAAATTGACTCGTCTACCTGATTCACCACTAATTCTCGGGACTGCTTTCACGTGATATCCCTGCAGAGGGCCATTATGTGTATCTCTTGGTGGAGTTATCCATGACACGATCAGCTCTCCTGGATTGTCCGTGGATTGAACTTGGACGCTTAACGGACTCGATGAAGGCGCTAAAATGTTTTTGCTGGATTTTTATTCAAATAAGGGTATCGAACTAGCGAGTACAAAGTTCTGTGGTAAATGAATGATGTGACCCATAGATATCTTTATCAATCTCCAATTAAGAATAAAATGAAGATACTTTATCACCTGTGAGAACAAACATTTATTAACCAGTAATAAGAAGGGGAAGAATGGGTTATCGACGATAATTCTCGCAACTTACAAACGTAATTTAGCATAATTGTTACGACTTTTACGCTGTTTTCTGTGTAGTATGTTCATTCCCCAGTACAGCCAATCCATTTCTGCTGAATTGAAAATAATACAAAAAATATTGGAACAACAGTAAAGGGCGCGTACATGTATCCACTTATTTCGGAGAGACAATGGATTTTAAATTTAAATCTGGGACTCAACAATAAGTTCCTCAACAAACAGTCGTCGAAACTTTACACTACAAACAAAATATCCTCCAAACCGAATTTCAAGCATAGTGATCAGTTTCGACGGAGACTAATCATATGCGCAGCATTATTATTTTTATAATTGGTGCAATCAGAGAACGAAATCAGGCTACTTGCTTACTATAAAATTTACGGCAACTGCTTAACGTTTGAGCTGAAAAAGTTACAGGTTATATACGTCTCACTGCTGGGCACAGGCCTCCTCTCATTTCTGAGCGGGGCTTAGGGCAAGGGAATGTCCGCCACGCTGCCCTAATGCGTGATGGCGATCTTCACATGTCTTCAAAGTATTTTTTCTTATTTCTCAGACATGCTGGTAACCTCACGTTGATTTCCTTCAATTCCGAGTATATAATCAAATTGCAGATGTGTTGTCAACCCTGAAGACTAAGATGGAATGCCTCATTTCCAATAAATAGGGTCTCTGGTTATCTGCACTATTTTATGCTGGCATTATGTAAGAATGATTCCTACATGATGTTGATGATTGGTGCCTGCAGAGATCGAAGTCGTGTGTGCGTTTAAGCTACAACAGCTCTTATATAATACAAGCATGCATTTTAAGTCTTGTCGTTTGACCAAAAAAATACAACTAGAAACTTATAGTATTGTTTTTTATTGTTTTTAAAGTATTCAACAAGTAGTTTATTACACTTTTCCATTCACTCGTACTATTTATTAAAAAATTTATTCCACTCCAAAGTGGGGGTGTTCAATATGTCTGTTTTGAAAGCGTTGACTGCTTCTTTACCGGACTGGAACCTTTACCACGAAGATTTCTCTTAATTTTAGGAAATATATAGAAACCGTTACGGTCAGGACTATATGGAGAATGTTCAAGAATTTCTACGTTTTCCTGCTTCAAATACTCAATTGTTTGACTAGCGCTGTGTGAGCTTGTGTTGTTATAGTGGAGGATGATGCATCGCTTTTGGTTGGATTTCCTAAGTCCGGCGATGATTTATGTTTCTTTTTTATACGATAGGGTGACAAACGAGCACACAGTCCACCTGATGGTAAGTGGTTACTGTGGCCCATAGACATCTACATCTATCCTCGATTACGAATCAAAATGCAAATGCGTTGTCACTCGTGAGGACTTAGGTGGAATGCCTCGTTTCCAGTATAAAGGGTCTCCGGTTCTCTATACTCACCATACGAAACACAGCAGCATTAAGCTACTATTTGACGCTTGTATTCTGTGAGAGCGTGGTCACTCCCCGGTCGAGCCGACCCATTCTTGCTACAACTATACTACTAATATAACCGTAGCATGGCTCTACCACGTTTAAAGCTTTCTCACACCAAGTGCTTCATGCAAGATCCTCTGAATGGTTGTCCCTAAGATGCCTAATAACGCCTCTATCTCTCGATATGTCACATGACAATCTTGGAGAATTAGTTTTCTCACATTAACAATGTTATATTTAGTGAAGGCGAATTATGGAAGTCCTTCACGAGATTTGTCACTAAGGTTGGTATCTCCACGCTGGAATTCTAAATACCATCTTTCGATTCATGAAGCTTCATCATGGAATACAGAAATTAGCTTTTTAAAACACTAGAGCAATGTAAGACCTCTTCGAAAGTTGTAGAAAATTATTGATATTTTCCTTAGTAACATTTATTTTCATACGTGCCCGGACAGATTCAACGACCACTCTGTGACTAAACAATAACATTAATCTTCATACTTTCAATTATTTTGAGATACAGACTTTAAACAAATTTGAATATTGAACAGTTTCAAATTATAAATTACCGGTAAATATATAAACGACAGAACTTAAAAGGCATGCTAGTATACATATGTACGTGGTTAAAATTTAATATAGCATGAACCTTGTTGCATGGTAGTGAAATGTACAGGTGGTGTATACGGGCTTAGATCTACTTGATTTCCTGAAGCTATTCGTACTCTGTAGTCTACTGCAGGTTGAAGGTCTCGTAGCTCTATGCTTTGTCGTATATCGTTTTCTTGTCTGAAACGTTACAATATTTTTACTTTAAAAATAACGAAAGTAAATGCAATTTCAATTTTTTGGTAAAATATAAACTTTTTATATTATAAAACTGAAGTAACATGTTTATATATAGATATGTTGTCACCACTGAGGACTAAGATGAAATGCTTCATAGCATATAATTAATTGGGTATTAGTACTCTTCAGAACGGAACACAGGAATGCAAGTACTGCTATTTGTCGACAGATAAGCGGATGGTACCTACCCAACGGATTCCCAGAGAGAAAAGGCGTTCTAGCACCTAGAAATAGTGTCTTAACATTTTATGTTATATGAGATCGGACCAGAAATCACGCTGTTTTTTTTTTCAAAAACATTAAGTTTAGTAGATACAGATATAGATAATGAAATATTTTTTTACACTTTTATGCTTAAATGTAATATTTTTGTCTTCATAAATATAACTGGTTTGAGCTACTCAGGGTGGAAGACGCTGACGGCTGTAACACAGTCTATACTAGTTTACTGGTATGACCGTTAACACTAACTACTTTGAAACGTAATTTTGTAATTTAATAGTGATTTCTTATATTTACGCGAACACTACACAATGATTAAAACTACTTTTTACGGATTTTATCGCGTTTAATTTTACTTTTAATTATTTTTAATTCCCGACGTTTCGGGTGCTTTCCAGCACCCATGTTCTCGGGGGACTGAGGTGACTGACGTCCCGATGTCATTGTTAAACCCGGAGTACCTTTTTTAATTATTGTTTATGGTCCGATCTATGTAAAATGAACTGATTATGTCCTGAGCTCTTGCAGTAGTATGCTTGGGTTTAGTTTTAATTTTATTGATTATAGGGTCTCAAGCAGGTGGTAGTATCCAGCCTCCTTCTCTATTGAAATTAGGATGTTTTTTAATTTCAATAGCCTCACGTATCATCCTTGGTAGAAATCGGTGTTCTTTCGCGACGATTTGTGGTCTATCAAATCTGATGTAATGGTTGGGGCCGTCTAGGATATGATCACAAACTGCAGACTTCCCGGAACGTTGATGCTTCACATCAGCTATATGTTCTTTTACGCGGGTTCTAATTGAAATAGGACAAACAAAAAGATCGGGTTTAACAATGACATCGGGACGTCAGTCACCTCAGTCCCCCGTGACCATGGGTGCTGGAAAGCACCCGAAACGTCGGGAATTAAAAATAATTAAAAGTAAAATTAAACGCGATAAAATCCGTAAAAGTAATTTTAATCAATTTGTAATTTAAAATAAAAATCTGTCAAATTGAGAGTCAAATAAATTATTCCTATTATTATAATGTATACCTCGTAATATTTATATTTTTTCCTGAATCCCAAAGCATGTAGTCGTTCGTTGAATATTGAATTGTATAATATTGTACATGCGCACTGATGGTATCCCTCCATGACAATTTCACTGAATTACTTGTTACTGAATCCACTTGTAAATCTAAAGGTGGGGTCGGTGGCTCTGTAAAAATTAACTTATATAACCTTTATGTTGTACTAATTAATAGAAAATAAAATGAACTCTCTGTACATAATATATTACCAAGAATATTGAGGTGAATTACATAAGTTGCCACACCATAGGGGTTGCTTGCTCTACACTCGTAAATCCCGCCATCTCTACTTTCAACGTAATTAATATTAATAGTACTTTTAATACCATTTGGAGTCACACTTTCCGATACTGTTATCCTGTTGATAGAATAATTACCACATTTTAATCAAAACGCTATCTTTTATAAATCTGAGACACTAAGTGGAAGTTATGTTTGTCAGAAGTATTACCTGTTAACTACAGATGTCGTGACTTTAGTTACATGGTATAATAAAAAAATACGTGTGGCACTCGGTGACTGCCGCGGTAAAGCTATTGCATAGCATTTTTTATCAACTTATGCAATTATAATTATTTATTTATTAAGTCTTTGATATTAAATCAAGTTACACTTTTTGAGCGTGGTGACCGATAAGAAAACAATTTCTTTTCTCTTATTGAATAAATGAGAAGTTAATATTGTTTAAAATATTTTTAATATCTTACAATACATGTAGGCTATTCAGGAATTTTATCATTGAGTTAGCAGCTAGTGTATACGCATACGTCTAGTCGCACGCACACAAACACCGTGTCGAAGTCTGCCGAGTGCCGAAGTCTGCCGAACTGAAACGACGTTAGACGATGCACGGTTTTCAACGCCACACCTCCCTGCCCGTCGGAATGGGGAGCGTGAGGTTTTTCTTCGTTACGGAATTTCTGGATTCGGTCCCCGCGCTCAAGGCCCGCGATAGAAGCTATGCAATAGCTTAACAACTTTTTTGACTAATAAAATGATTTATAGCTGATCCTGTTGAATTTGTCATGATATGGCGGTCTAAAAGAATCCAACAGCCATATCATTCCATGGGCGGAGAAAAGAAGAGGTGACATAAGGAAATTAAATACGAGATGGACAGTTACATCTTGACAGCAACTAAAATAACAAAAATCACGGTTGTCAACCCCACTAAACCACCCACCAATCGTGGCAACTATGGCAAATATCCCCCTTACAAGTCAATCTATGGAAGAGTCATTTGTTCAGCAGTAGACTGTAATGTATGATGATAAATAAATAATGCTTTGAATATTGCTATATATCTTTCACTAGTCCGTAATGGGTATCCTACTATTTCAATGTTATAGATTTACCACAATGAATACGCATTGGTCTCGCAACTCTTTGCCTCCATCCTCTTTTTTTCTCGTATTTTATTTCCGTTAGATACAACATGGTAAAAATATAAGTGATATTATAGATAGATCTTCGTCGTATTTTCTTGAATTGACTACACTACACTACACATACTCGTAGATACGAGATGAAATGTCTTAGATCACCGCACTAGTAAGAGTACTACTTAAGAAATATATGCTAAAAATATTTTATCACAAAGAAATACCAATACCTGGAACTAGCAAAGTCCACTGGTTTTCCATTAACGGTCCACTTAACCCTGATAGGACTGTCTCCAAGCGGCCGGCAAGGTAACGAAACAGGTAGTCCTAGTTTGGTTGTTAGGTTAGTTCCCACAGATTCAAAATGCACCGGCTCTATAAATTACTTTGTATTTAAAACGAATTTTAGTTACTTAAGCTTTTTGCATGAATAAGTGCTTGCTAGTTATGGTAATATAAATCAAAAAAAATGGAAAGGGCTCTCCATTATAGAATTTGTAAACAAGATTGACTAGGATGCATTGACCAATGAGTGAGTAAGCTAGAGTAGTATTGGAGGCCATTCGATTGAGAACAAAGTCCGCCAAAGGAAGTGCAGCCGTGTACTGGCAGTATATGTGGTAGGGACTACCAGTAGGTTGACTAGTCACAAAACTTACAAGAAGTCTATGGACATAAGTGACACAGGAGAGCTCATTTGCAGTGGTACATTACATTATAGATAGATTACAGCCTATCACAAGTCCACCGCTGAATTTATTTATTTATTTTATTTTAAATTTCTACAAGCTATACATCTCAATTTAATAAGTTTATATGCACTGTTTATTTTCTATTTTTTTTTATGGGATAGAGATCAGGTGGGCTGTGTTGACAAACGAGCACACAGCCCACCTGATGGTAAGTGGTTGCTGTGGTCCTTAGACATCCACATCTATCCTCGATTACGAATCAAAATGCAGATGCGTTGTCACCCGTGAGAACTAAGATGGAATGCCTCTTTTCCAGTAAACTCACCATGCAAAACACATTACAGCATTGAGCTACTATTTGACACTGGTATTCTGTGAGAGTGTGGTCCTTCCCCGATCAAGCCAACCCATTCATGCTACAACTATACTACTAATATACTGCAGCATGGCTCTACCACGTATAAACGTAGATTTAACTATGTGATGACCACTTATTGTAAGATGTCTATGAGCCACAGCTTCCGCTTACTATCAGATTACTGTAAGCTCGTTTGTCATCTTTATTCCATAAAAAAATAAAATATCTTAAGAAATTAAATTACTTAGGACACAATTACTTACTATTAACACTTATCCACAAATTCTTATTCAGCGCTTCCCCAACGCCATTCTCAACATTACATGCATAAACCCCTTCATCAGACAGTGACACCACTTCAATAATAAGTGTGCCATTTGGGTAACTAATAACACCTCCACCAGCCAGGTCAAGAACTGGTCGCCATATTCCAAGAGTAGCTGAAATAATTTGACAATACAACAATACAATTAATTTCTTCTACCTATTTGAAACTTTTTCGACATTAAGTGTCAAAGTCATTAAAATCTATGTGAATTTAAGAAATGCCTACATAACATTGCCTAAATAACAATAGAAAGAGACAGATATAGATATAACTAGCTGACTCCAGCATGCCCAGCAGACATTTTCCTGGCAATTAATATCATAAGGGTGTGTTCTGCAACATTTTTTACTTCAGCAAATGTAATTTAATTTATTAACTATGGTGCTTCATTGAAAAGAGCACATAAAATCTAAATTAATTAATTATATTTGTTACTCATTTTTTAGTTTATAAATATAAACCTTCTACATTGAAAGATATAATATATATATATATATATATATATATATATATATATATATATATTATTTAAGTTTGCGATAGTTGAAGGCCATAAATTTTAAAATAAATTGTATAGAATGAGAGTACAGAACAGACTAATCTATAATAACAAGTACTTAGTTTAAGTAATTTTTACAGATTATTCTTATCTGCAGAGACTTCCCCTTACTAGGTCTACTGATCTAAATTATATTTACAAAGTACTAATACAATATCAACAACTGCTCAATTATAAGTATAACGCACTATTGAACCACCCAGTACTTAATAACGGTATTTTTGTTCGATAACTGTTTTATCGCAAATATTCTTAGCACTTATTATTCGTAACCAGATAAGCTTTTTATTCTGAAAAGAACTCATCATAACATGAGCTGAAAGCAGTGAACTAAGACATAGCCAACGGCTCAATGGCGCCGTAGCTTAGCAGTGAATTGCAGCTCTATAGGCCGAGGGTTGGAATCCCGCATGGAACAAGTATTTACAGACTTCAAATAATTGTTCTGGGTCTGGATGTTTGTCCTTGTGCAATAAATGTTTGCAAACTGGTTCACAATATAGGGGAACATGCTTCTGTTGGGATTACGCCAGCAATTTGAATTTAGTCTTAAGTCCTAACAGTAATCGTAACTTTTTGTATTAATTTAGTCTTCGTTGACAAAGAAAAACATTGCGATGAATAAAATATCGAAGAAAAAGCTCAAACCTCGTCAAAATATCGAAGAAAAAGCTTAAACGGGTTGGGTTTGCAATTTGGTCGCCTGAATTTGAAGATTCTGTCACTGTGGGGGTGTGAAGGGGGTTTATCTGAAGCACCCCAACCAGATTTTTGCTGTCGGAGCAGCGTCGAAGTATTTTTTAATTATTTTTTAAAAACATTGGAAAATGACTAATTTAAGTTTCTAACCATTTCTGACGTTTCATCTGTCAATGTCATATCGATATATAGTACTGAATCGATCTAGTGAATCGATATTTCACCCTAGAGAATCGAGATCGAAACTTTTTCTGTTTTATTAAGATTTGTAAAATTATTTACAATTAGTTGAATATACCCTAACTCGTAAAGAATGACAGTTTTTAATTCAATCATTCAATGTTATCTGTACTTTATTGTATCTTTTGATATTGTAAATACAAACTTTTAACGCAAAATTAGGGGTTACAACGCATTTGCATTTTGATTCTTAATCCAGGTTAAATGTGGATGTCTATGGGCCGCAGCATCCACTTACCATCAGGTGGTCTGTGTGCTCGTTTGTCACCCTGATCCTATAAAAAAAAATCAAAAAAAGATCGATTTTTGCGAAATCGATCTTTACGATTTCAATTTTTTGTGAATCGATTCAACCAATTTCGATTTGAATCCATTTAAAAATGTGTAAAATCTTTGAGTATTAAACCAAAGGAGACGGCATCGCAAGGCATACCCCTCTGTAAAAGGTACGAGAGTCCGACTCATACTCGTTATATAAAACTAGTTGCTCCGCGTCGTGCGTTATTCCGAAGTGATCGTGCCAGTAAATCGAGCTCCGACAAAATGCCGAATTGCAGTGTATTTACATGAAAAAAAAAAACAATCAAAAACGTCAAGTATACAAAAGGACAATGTGACTTTTCATCTGTGAGTATTTTTAACATAATATTAAAGTAATTTTATCATTAAAACTCGTACTTTGTGAATATTATCGTCCAATACCGAGTGTGGCCATCATAGTTTATAAAGTGAAAAATAATCTATTTTTAAATAAATATAATTTACTACATAAGTTATATATTAACGAAAATATGTTTCCCAATAACTAAATCAGTTTATGATGAATAATAATCGTTACATATAGATGTGTAGTGGATTTTGTTAAATGATTTATATATTCAGCTCAATTTTAAAACGATACTGAATATTGTATAATTAAATATAATCGATAACTAGTATTTATTAAAATATTATACAAAATACAGGCCAAATAAGTCAAATCGAAACTTGCTGCTTCGCAGCAAAAGTGTGTAATTTTTATAAAAATAAACTGGTATCACTGCAACCGAAAGTATTGCACTATAGTGATGAACGCCGCAACTTTAGCTATCGATAAGTTAATTAACCATACGGGTTTGTCTGCCGAACCGGTTTGTAGTTTTTATTTAGATTTTATAATAAAGTACTACAAAAAGTAGTATATTTTTCTATTATTGGTTTGTTATTACAGATTTCCAAGAGATCCTCTTAGGCGGCACACTTGGATTGTAGCTTGTAGAAACCATGAATCTGACACTGCAGCTGTATATTTAGAAGACCTTTTCACCAAATTATTCTACTTGAAAAATTTTAAGTTTAAAAGCACCAACCATCTTAATTCATATATTTATATACCTATTGTTGTAATTGTAAACTTAATGTAGTATAATTTTTGTACGCCATAAATGGCAAAACATATAGTTTTAAGTTTTTTGAACACTTGTATTTTATTTACTCATGCTTTACAAAATAAATATCTTTATGTTTATCATATATATATATATATATATATATATATATATATATATATATATATATATATATATAAAAATAATAAATTCCCCGAATTATCTTAGCCTGTGCCAACGTCGGATCTTTCGAGTGCCGATTCCCAATTCACACAGTAGCTTTATCAAACGCCACTCACCATTTCTTCTGCCTAGCATTTACAACAAATTCTGCTGTCTCTTCCCAGATTTGAGGTCTTTGTCCACAAGTAAAGTCAAACACAAAATAACAACCTGGCTGCTACATGCTTCTTATCAGGAAACGGAAAACTTACTTTCCTTTCATAGTTGACCCTATACATGCACACGCGTAGACTTACACTCACTCACACACACGCGCAAGCACGATCCCCCCCCACACACAAACAAACTCACACAGACACACACACCACACACCCACACGCACGCACACACACTCGTTCGCACGCACACAACAAAAAAAAAAAAAAGATTTATTTTTCGCTTCATTTTAATTTAATCGGAGTTCTATGTATTTATCGGTGTAAACGGTGTCAGTCAATGTTCTTGGTTCCTGCGATACAAGCCTAGAGCTTAGTGCAGAAACCAGTGTATTGCTTAATTATGTAATGTTTTTTGGTTAAATAAATACATTTTCTATTTCTATTTCTATATATATATATATATATATATATATATATATATATATATATATATTCTATTTATATTAAAATTATTCACAATATCATCTACATCGAAAAAAGAAAGCTGGATGTTCCGGTTAATTTCCGCAAGTTTGCAAGAAATACTATGCCCTAACACTTAACTATTACTCACCAAAAACCTATCGCTATGTACGTAAAACTTTTGGAACACGTTTGCCTGCAAAAAGCGCTGACGGTATTAAAATTGAGAGCGGAGAGTAACCCTGATAATTTTTTTTATTGTACCTAGGTAATGGATGAAATGAAAATTAAGCAATTGACAGAATACCATGCTAGTAGCTAAAGGCATTATGAATATAACCAAAATGTCTTTTAGAACTTGCATGGTACTCCGTCAATTGTTTTATTTTCATTTCATCTATCACTAATACATAATATAATTTCTTGTCAGGGTTACTCTCTAGTCTAAGTTTTAAAACAGTTAACGCTTTTTTTGTGTAGTCAAGGCCATAAATTGTACTGTGCCACTTTGTTATAGTATGTGATGAAGGCAGACCAATTTCAAAACTTTTGATATTTCGCACATATTGTTAAGCTTTCGGTGAATAGTAATGTAAAGTTAAAGCAAAACATCTTTCTGGGGAATACTTAGCCCTAGGTAGATGTCACGTTTTATTTTTAAGCAGATGTCTGCTTAAAGTTCACTTTGTTAAACTATTATATAGTGTAAAATTTTTTTGTTTCCCTAATTTATTAAATATTTTCCAGACAGTTCATTTAATAACTCTTGAAAATCAACAACTATTTTTAATTAGCGGTTTTGTGATTGAAGCTTTACAATAAAAACAAAAACTTGGTTAACACCATCTAAGATGATAAACTGATAGGACTTATGTTTTCAAAAAATCTGATTTTTCAAATAAGTTAACTAAACCTATTTCGATTTGTTAAATGTTTTAAATTTTATCCTGCATAATGTAAAATAAACCTGTAGCAAAATAATAAACTTATTTTCAATAATTTCTTCGTATTTAGAAATGTTCTTCGGAAAAAAACAAGTTTTTTTCCGGAGAACATTTCTAAATACTTTAAAAAAGGAATTTCAAATAACACCTTGGTATTATTTATCTATGTATTACTTATAATCAAATAAAAACTTATTCGGACTATGGTGATTTGTTTATCGATAAAAAACATCGACAAACCACGCCTTACGTTCCTTACGCATTTAGACAGCGCCATCAGTGTATCGACACCTGTACAATTTGCTGGTTGCGTAAACGCGATGCACACAAACACAAATGCTGTAGTGTGCGTTTATAGTGACGCGATTTAATTTTGCATTTGTAGTTAAGTATACAGTTGTGTGTTTTCTTGCGCCCCCCTGATGTTGACAGAATTTTTGTTTAGGCATTAACGCGCATGGCCTCTCCAGTTGGTTTAATACTCAATGTGCAAAATTAAATGCTAAGCCGGCCATTCTGTTGACAGTTTTTCGTCATATCGTTGCTTCAGATTCAGAGTTTCATAATTTTGGTGAATAGTGGAATATTTGTGGCGGCAGAATACTGCTAAATATCGCAAAGATCCTTTCTTACAAATGGTGCCAGCCATAAATTATTTTTATAAAGTAGTTATAAAAGTTAATGTTTTGGTCTAACTACTCATAAAAATTACGAAACATAACCTCAAAATGAGATTTTTAAAAATTTATAAAAAAAACTAAGCACGTCCGGCAGGAAGGGGAAGTAGGGGGTGACTCTACAACTCCCTCCCCTCCCCACCCCACCCCCTAATTCAGGCGACCGAATTGTAAACCTTACCCGCTTAAACCTCGTCAAAAATACAAGTGCATCGTCGCAAACTATTCCTGGTCCATTATCCCCAAAATAATGGTGAGGTAAGTATTGTGCTCATCATTGAAGTGTTTAGTCTTTTACTATTTAATCACAGTTTCAATTATAATTTCTCCCTTTTCACTTTTGATCAAATATAGGTTATAATAATTACCATCTCTCTTCATCCAATGAATCTGGGGAGTAGGATATCCATTTGCGTTACAATATATTACACCACGTTGGCCTAATAATAAAGATGTATTGGTAGGTTCTTCTACCCATTTTGGAGCAACTGTAAAAAGAGCAATTATATATAGTCTGATTAAAGTAAAATACAGCATTAGAGTAAAGAATCATGCCCACTGTCATTACATCGATTGACCTGTCAATCCTTTAACAGGTCGCGTCTACCTACAACTAGTGTTGTATAAAAACAATTATTATTTATAATAACATAATAACGTGTCATCTTTCCATTTAGAGGCCAGGGAAAATGCTATTCAGCAAATTAGTTTTTGAGCTTATAACACATGGAGGTTATAGCCACTGACTTAGTATATCTCTAAATGGTTATTGGTTATAGCTTATAACAGCTGTCATATTAGGTCCGTCTTATATTTTGGCATGACTTCTGGCCCTTGAGCCATTGTAAAACACGATCCGGTTACAAAAGTCTATTGAGAATGACAAACATTGTAACATTGCTTTTTTCCTGGCTTTATTTGAAAGTTCAATAACGCGATACGAAATGAGCAAAAATATGTGGTTTTATAAGATATTGTGCATCACTAGACTCGTTAGAAAATTTTCAGGTCAAAACTGGACATTTTTCTTTAATTTTGTTAAAAAATTAAAAAAAAATACTGATAATAATTGAAGGATATTTAATTAAAATAAGTATTTTAATAATACAATTTTCTAAGTTACTTATTTGCTTAGAGTAGCGTACAAATCTATCAGCAAAAGTTTGTTATTACTTCGAAAGGCCGATGTGCCTCCAGGGAGTAAACTTGTAATATCTATCTATAAATTATTTAATTAACATATTGTCTCCGACAGATAGGGAATAGTATTCTCAATCCGACATGATATTGAGCTCTGCAAAATAGGAGTAAATAGATTTATTGTGTGTCTTAAGCTATTCTATTTCGGAGTTAATTTTCGTTAAGGATGTGACCAAGCACTTGCTTATTCTAAAAATAAAATACACTCTACATAACATTATATACTAATCGCTAAGAAAGACATGTAAAATGCTGGCTTAAATACAGGAAGGCTCCTCCAAAATGCTACGGCAAACTCAAAACAGCTTTTCTTTTTCACCGAACACAAAAATAAGAACCGAAATACATTGCAGTGATAAAACCAAAACTTTATTTTTAAAACACACATGATATAGATACATAAGTTTTCACTGGGTAATGTATATAGAGACAATAAAATATTTCTACATGATAAAGAATGCTGCAGTGCTGCTATTAAATTATCTATACATGGTGTTGTAATTAGTTTAAAATATTTTATTTTCTTTGAAAATTTATCTGTTTTAATTTTGACTTAAAAAGAAAATTAACTGTTTTCAAATACGTTACAAAACTATAGCTTAAGAAGAAGTTTGATGTTGTTGGAAAAGCCGACATAAATAATAAATTGCTTGAATTGTCAGATCGGGAAGAATAAGAAAATAAAAATCTATTTTATTTTTTAAACAAATTCCTGTTTACGTGAAAATTGGTGAAAATTAAATTCCTTATGTATAAATGAGTACAATTCACAGTACTTAACGCACAGTGAACCATTTTAATTTATGTGCTTGATCGACTGTTAGTAGTAGTTAGACTGTGACTACACTAATAATGCGACCCATTGTCAAAAAATAATTTTAATACTTAGGAAACACTAAACAATATAAACTTACCATTTATGTACAGATCCGCCGTCTGATTGACTTTTCCAACATGATTTGTTGCTATGCACGTATATTTGCCACAATGCTCTAACGAAACTCTTTTTATTATTAAGACGCTAAATAACTCGGAACTTCGTTCATTTATCTGAAATGAAAACTGATATTTTTTAAATTAAAATATTTACAAATATTCCTTATGGTTTCTCCAAATCTTTGAGAGATATAGCAGATGTTCCTAGCTGGATTCGACCCAAATTCCGCCAGCCATATGGTCGTTGATGTGTGATGTGAAAGTATGATCTATCGCCTGCAAGCTGCTCAGTCAGGGAAGGCAAAAACTTCGTATATACGGAGCCTCTTATATATATATATATATATATATATATATATAATATATGTATGTGTGTGTGTGTGTGTGTTTTGAGTCGTTACAAAATTTGATGGCGCTATTGGCGCCCAGTTTCTTGTAGTGGTGCTGGCAGCACCACCACAAGAAACTGGGAAGAGGCTTAAAGATGTGCGAGACATTTAATACTGAGAAGGAAAAACTTTTATGCAAAGACGAAGACCCATGTCTAGTAAAGGGATGTTGACAAACTAATAAATAGTTAGGAGTAGAAAAGAAACTATTTATATACTATGTATACTACAAAGAGGATAAATTTCTCTTTTGTAGAAAAATAAAACTTATCTCCACGAAAAGAGTTCTGTGCCAAGAAGCCATATTTTGTAGGTTATGGTTATTTCTCTATTAATTTTTGTTCTTTGTCATCATCAGTGATGGATAGGCGACTCTCATGTTTGGCATTTGAAAAGTTCTTTGCCGAGCATGGATGTCTCCCATATAATAAACAAAAGGAACTATTACGGATAAAAACTATTACTTTTAAGCTTGCTGGAATCTTCATCCCATCTTTTAGCCAGGAAAAAAATATAGGCGGATCTCCACTTATAATATTGCATGTAATTTGTACTATTTGTCCTTCTTTTAGGCCCGTACCAACGCGGAGTTCATCTAACGCTGGAGCTTCCACTACTTGAATTTCGAATGATCTGGAACCATAAAAATAAATATAATTACAAGTGATGAAATATTGTATAACTGTGACATTGTTATCGCCACCTTAATCAGTACCACCACCACCACCACCATTATCAACACATACAAACATCTGATAGACATAGAATTTGAAACTATTTTTATTCTAAAATAACACATTATTGGCTTAACAATTTTGAGGAAAATACCAACTATCCCAAAGGAATGTTACCAGCAAGCAGTTTCTATAATAATACTTATAGATTGAACGAGTCTACTGGTTTGTGGACAACCGGCGCTACCATTATAGATTATTTGTTATTCAGCGGTTGCCATGTCTGCAAGATTTATAGCGAATAATGGCTCAAGTCATTTACAACTTTAGCTTTCTATCCCATTTTGAAAATGATGGCCGCTCTGCTATAGTTTCACGTAATATAATCCTTACGGATATCAGATTCCTGTGTTGTGGCGAAACTCGACCTCAGAATCATGAATTATGGCTATGTCGGAGATGGACTGTGACTGGACGTATGATTGAATTTAGAAATATACTATTATCTTTTGATGTTATTATTTTTCTCAATTCAATTTATAGATTATTCAAATGTGATATAAAAAAATCATATTCTTTTGACATATATTCTTTCTTTTTTTTTGGATCCGTAACACATAAAGTTGTACCTTCTCTTCTTAAGTTATTGGATCTTCTGTAACATCAAAATATATATACATAAACTGCACATGGACTAACATCTGGGCCCTTTTGCTAGTTAGGTAATTAAAGCATTAACACCTATTTTAGGCCTTACAGAGTGCAGTGACATTATAAGAAAATACATTACTCTATATTTTCGCATGGGTCGCATAAGAGGCGACAATGAGATACAAAACAGAAGATAAGCAGCTGCATTTCTCTGCTAATGGCTCAAAATATTATAATTAACCCCGCCTACCAAACGTGCTAAATAAGGCAAACTTTCCGCTTCATTGTATTAAGCATTCGTTTGAAGCAGTCTATGTAGAACTGTTCTGTTTATCAGTGGACTTTTGATACTGTAATAATATTAAGCAATCAGTCCTAATATTAAACGTAACTATATAATTTTTAAAATAAACAGTTTTTTTATTTACTAAATTACCTTCTAGCCATTTCACCAGACGGACTATAAACAATACATGTGTACATGGCTCCATTCTGTTCTTTGAGCACTCTAGGTATATTGAGCACACCATCTTCCACAGGTTCAAATAGTTGTCGTTTCTTTCTTTTCTTTTTCACATTTTTTCGACCTTTCTCGATAACAAAGCGTTTATACCGTGAATGTTGAGGTAGCATCGAATTGACTATTTTTTTCCCTTTATGTTCCCATTCAAGTTTACTGAAAGAATATGAAAATACTTCATGTAGGAGAAATAACCGTACAGTATTTTTTTATAAAAAATAATTAAAATTAAAGTCGTTTAACAAAGGGGAGAGGGCTAAGCCCCGGGAGGCAGATTTTAAGAGGCAGCATTTTGGGAATTAAGGTCAGCTCTCCCTTTTACTTTTTAAATAAACCCAGTGAAAATCAAAAATATCTGAAAATTATCGGTAACTACATACTATTAAATTGTTAATTAAAAGTAAAATAAACGCGATAAAATCCGTAAAAGTTGTTTTAATCAATACATACTATTGATTAAAATATGTAACTTTCAGCTGTTTTGAAAAAGTAAGTTTTTTTCGAAAAATTCAATAAAAAAAAACTTAACATCGATCCATGGTTTAAAAATGTCACGGTTGTATATGGTAATGGTAATTTTTTTTATATACTAAGGGTGATAAACGAGCCCACAGCCCACGTAATGGCAAATTGATGCAGTGGCCCGTTGACATATACATAAATTTTGCCCTTAATTAAAAATCAAAATGCAAATGCGTTGTCACCCTTAAGGACTGAGATGGAATGCCTCGCTTCTAGTAAAAAGGGTCTCCGCTTCTCTATACTCACCATACGACACAGCAGCATTATGCTGCTATTTTACGTTAGTATTCTGTGAGAAGCAAAATTTAATGTACAATGACAGAGTTATTGCTGTACTTTAAAATAGATTTAAGCAATGGCAAAGACATAAAAGAATGTTTTTGTAATAAAATAAAAAAATATTTTATAAGTCCTAATTGTCTAATACTAGCAAACTTCTTGAGAGCGTAATGCCAAGGTTTATGAAAAAATAATTAAAAAGTTATGAATATAATCATATTATTAATTTATTTTATATAATAAAAGTCACACAAAATCACTATCGTGAGTGTTAAATATTTTAATTTTAACAAATATCAGATATTCTTATGAGACCAGAAAAAAAGGAGTATTAAACGTAGTTCAGAAGTAAAGTTAATAATAATTTTGGTTCAGAAAGCGATTTGAATTATTATTAAAAATGAATTATAGTAATACAGTAAAATTGAAACACCAACCCAAAACCCCCCTCTTCAATCGTATTATTATTAGTTGTAAACTTTTACACTATCACAGAGGGATTACAATTCAACGTTCGCCAAATGTATAGGTACTCTTCTTTGGTCTTATTCGTCTTATATTCATCGATAGTATCGATATGATACTACCCCGGTAGAGCCGTCCACCTTATTCCTAGTTGGTGACAAAATGATCTATATTTTAATTCTTAATTGTGGATAAATGTCGATATCTATAAGCCACATCATATACTTACTGTGTGTTGTTTGAAAAAAAAAATATACATTCGAATAAATTACCCGTCCTTCTTGGTCACTCGGGTAAAAACCAATCGGTTGAATCAAAACCGATGGTATACTACAGCCATAATATCTATCAAGCCGTTTAGGCTATAGACTGTGCCAAAGAAATAGACATAACATAAATTTTAGGCGATAGAGCCATGCTGCAGTTATATTATGGTTGTCGCACGAATAAATTGGCTAGACCGGGGAAGGATGCATGGTCTTTAATAATTCTTAAATTACGTAAACTATAGTTCACACAGCCGTAGAAAAAAGCGTATCAAAAAATCGAAAATGTTTTACCTTATGGGATATCCGTAGTACGGACAACGTAATTTCAATGGTTGCCCACTTTGTACTTTGATAGGCGGTAAGGTTCTAATGTAAGGCGGACCTATAAAAACAAAATGTTATTGTACGTGCGATATAAGAGGATTTGTTTGATTCGACCTACGTCACTTCAAAAACTTTTTTACCAAATTTGCTTTATGCAAAACCCTTACTTCAATTTATTAGAAAAACATCAGCTATTTTTATATTTCTCCCATTTTAGTAGATACTAAGTAAAACATAGTAAATGTAAATAAAACATAATAAATTTAATACAAAATTTAAAATAAAACATAATGTATTTAAGAAGTTTGTATGATAACTTTTTGTGATGAAAGCTGTACGGCGAAGCTTTTATTTCTCTAAAGCCCATTTCCATTGACTCTACGGTAAAGAAACAAGTCATGTGTGAAGTTAGTACACCTGGCTACATAGCTCGACCTGGTGTGTGTCAGTGGGAGACAATGACTTGACGAAGAAATTAATATTTGTATTATCTATTTATTTTTACCAAAAACATCTACACGGGCTACGTGGCTTGTGCTAGAGTCCCCTTCATACGCAACGCAAGAAAACAAGCCACCATCTTCAACTCTAGCTCTGGTTATATTGAAGTGTGAGATGACACCAATTCCTGTCGATGACATCATTTGTCCCAGAATGTATCTGAAATAAAAATTATTTTTTTATTGTATTATAATAACATTGAGGTACTTTACTCAACCACACTATTGTGCGATGCACAACTGACGAACGAGTTGCCAACAACCAACTGATGTCGAAATATTAAACCAATTTTGTCAAGCTCAGATGCAACAGACTGATTTAATGTATTTTATTTTATTTAAATTACTTGCTTCCATCATTATGAATATGTAATAATGGGCGGTGTGATAAGATATTGTGAATAAAGCGTCAACAGCAATGGTAAATTGCGAACCGCGAACAAGGTTATATTTTGAATGAATTCCTTACTTTACTTATTTTACTTACAATTAAAATATAAATATTTTCTTTTTGAAACGTTCTACGCGTTCTATACAGGCTTCTCAGGAAGGGAAATGGTAACCTGGTTACTCGTACTATTAGCTTTTGTAACTGGCTTTAATACATTTCATCTTAGGTTCGATGCTTCGATCAACAATACCAACTAGATAACGGGTCACATACAAAATCCTAGCTACTGTCCGCATGAATATAAACTATGAAAAGACATAAATTAAATAACATTTAATGTGAAATCAACCTTAAAGTATAACAAATAAAGTTCTTTTTCCCGTTATTGCCTTCCGAGCTACACTCTCACGTGCAAGAGCTCACGTCTCATGTGCGCTCTTATTTACTGAGATGGATTTCTTGCGCCGACCGGACATTTAGTTGGTATTGTTGATCGAAGGTTCGGTGAGACTGACAAAACAATAATTCTAAACAATTGATGTAGGGTTGTTGGTAGAATTATCTTCATTCTTTGGTATAAAAAGGAGGTCGTGTAATGGGTATGAATGATAAAAGTAAAAACAGATAATACTTCACCTGGAATCCGTGTTTGAGGATATCACAACGCCATCTCTCTCCCAAATAAAACGTGGCGGTTTATCTGCTGTCGCTGTACATTCTAAGCTTATCTGTAATTATATTATGATTTAAAAAGACTAACTCACTGCGTTTAATCGTAAATTCATTCAGTTCACTCTTAACCGTCGATTAGGTATACGAAATTTTAGGTTTTGGGTGAAAATATGATTTTCTTTCACGTTGAACCGTTGTTGCTCAGGGGCTAAGCGCAAGCTGTACATTTCGTAGTACGTCAGCAACGTGGTCTTTTTGAAATGAGTCGTGGTCCTTCACTGCTGGCCGGACGCTCAAGGTCGCTCAGCGAGCTATGGAGAGGGCTATGATCGGGGTATTCTCTGCGTGATAAAACTTAGAAATGAGGATATCCGTAGTGGAACCAGAGTGACCGACATAGCCCAACGGATTAGTAAATTGAAGCGGCAATGAGCTGGCCAAATAGGTCGAACAACCAACAACCGATGGGGAAAACGTTTTTCGAGTGGCAGCCTCGTAACGATCGGCGAAGTGTAGGGCGACCACACTAGATGGAGTGACAACCTGGTAACCCATGCAGGAAGTCGATGAATGCAGGTGGCTCAGGACTACTGCTTTATAGCATTGCTTTTCACTTTCATTCTATGAGTATCTAAAAATATATTGTTAAACTATAAATGCAAGCTAAAAATATATTATTGAAACTATAAATGCAAAATAAAGCAAATGTCAGGTTTTCTTTCGAGTTAGGTTTCTGTATCAAGAATTCAGATTCGGCAGTGCCAGCTACGTCATACCAGAAATTATTGGTATTGGGTGACGTAATTCGGTTGTCTCAGTGGTTCATTCTGAATGCGACTTGCTTTCTTTCTGCAACGATCTTTTGCCGTTCGGAAATATACAGAATGGGTCCCACATATATGCAATAAATGAAACCATATACTTGTTATCGCCTTTGCTGACGATATACAAAAAATGAACGTAATCAGTCCAGTAATTAGGTCAAAAAGTAATTTTAATTTTAAGCAATACACTCTATAGAATTGTCACTAAGTCAATGATTCAATGAACTTGAATCCTTAACATTAAAAGACGCCAGAATAGACAGGGTCCAAGGGTTAGTTGTCTAAACAGAGTTTCACATTTACTGAATTTATTTTAATATTTATTTTAACACTTCTACGGACTAGTATTACTTGTGGTTTCATTTATTGCATATATGTGGGACCCATTCTGTATAATGCTAGCGTGTACGCCGTTTATAAGTATAGGTGTAAATGCTTGTGAACACAGAAAAAGTAATCTGAAACTCAATCAGGAAACCTGACGTTTGAGCTCCTACTAATAGCGCAAGTGCATAATATCCCTAAAATGTATTTGGAAATTACACTGGCTTAAGTTATTAGTAACAAAATAATGTTCGTAAATATAAATTAAGCGTTTGTTTGTAATATCGTTATAACTGCTTTTAAATATATGTTAAAATAATAATTTAGCTAATAATTTGTTAAACTTTTATCAGTCTGTATGTCTCTGTGTACATGGTAATCTTCAGAGTGGCTATACTAAATGTGGTAAAACTACACGAACAGAAAGAGAGAGAAGAGAGAGAAAAGAGAAAGCAATGCCATAATTTATCTAAGCTCTATTTTATCCGAAAAACTTGGAGTATTTTTTTAAACCGAAATATTGAAAAAGTGACGATTATTTTAAAAACCTAAATCGGGAGTGGGTTGCAAATTATTAAATATAATAGAATTTCATATAATATGTAATTTATTTTGTATTATTGTCTCAGAAGTTGATTGGTTTTCCATGAAAAGCTAGAATAGGTTTTTATTATTTAAAAATATGCATCATATTGTATTCACTTCCCTGTATCAAACTATGGAATCGTTTACTGATATTTGCATATAATTTCTACAGAAAAAGTTGCTTTTTCACAGGTCGTAAAAAGGTATTTTATCTAGCATGAGTGTCAACTACCCTATAATAATCGTAAAAGCGTACTTACATCTTCTCCTGGAGTAACAATTTTTTCCGTAAAATGTTGAGTGATTATGATATTGGATGGTCCCAGTTCACGTCTAAATCGTAAAAGGCCTTCATCTAAAAATATAGAAAATACATACATAATATTTCTATATTATTATATTATGACAAATCAATACCATACGTTAACGTATGGTAGGGAAAGTTGGGTGTGGCTGAAGAAGCACGAGAGTAGAATGAACGCAGTAGAAATGCGGTCGTTAAGGAGCATGTTAGGGCTGAATCTGAATGACAGGGTGAGAAATTGTGTGATAAGAGAAGAGTGTGGTTTGCAAGATGATGTTGTGACCAGGATTAAGAAAGGAATGCTTCGGTGGTTTGGTCATGTGGAAAGAATGAATGAGGAAAGAGTTTGCAGAAAAGAATGGCAGAGTCGGAAAGGGACGTCTTAGGTGAAAATTTATCGACCAAATTGGCGATTTTTTGAAAACGGGCCAAATTAGGAGTACCCTTAACCGACGAGCATGTATGCGTAGGTATATGGATGTGACGGAGGCGAGAGAGGTGTGTCAGGATCGTAGCAAGTGGAAGTCTGTGGTCTCTGCCTACCCCTCTGGGTGACAGGCGTAAGTGTTTATTATTTTATGATAAATCAATAATTTATGTGACTTTCAGTTAATTATATATGCTATAGGTGTCAAAGTCAAATAATTTTATTCAAAGTTTGTTTTTACAACGCACTTTTTGAAAGTTAAAGCAATGCCAATACTTCAGGAAGTCCCTGGTCAGTGTTCTGTCGTGAAGTCCTGAGCAGAAGCAGCAAAAAACTCACAAGTAAATAGACTATTTCACTCTCAACATTTACAATTTATTCTTAAAATATATAATACTTAAAAATATTTTAAAACATCTAGGGAAGCTCTTTACGTTCAAGCATTATCATTTAAAAAAAATTTATAATATCCTTTCTTTATAATAATGCTTTTCACCTACGCTTTAAATTCCAAAAGAGGATACTCTGAAAAACACAAGGAAGTTTTTACGGTCTCCAACAGAGACTTAAATAATAGTGTGGTGATATAGTAAGGTGATGCCGAGGTGTAAGAATATCCAATGCCCATATCGTCCGACATCCACGATGTCGTAAGAGGCGATGGAAATTGAAACAGGTGATGGGCAGCGGCATCTACTTGATAACAACTCAAAACATTAAAAATTGCAACCAACAGGATACAAAACCCAATATGAAGGAGACCTATGTTCTGCACTGGACTTTTATAAGCTGGAATAGATGGAAGAACTTCAAACTAGCCTAAATTGAATAAAATTTTTGACTTTTTACTATATTTATTATTATTAACGTTCATTGCTTATATCAGCTACAGTATTTTTAATTTTTTTATCTTGAAACAAGAGCAACAATAAGATTGTGAAACATGTTGTCCGTATTAACATACCTAAATTGCCGAAAATTTGATTAGACTCGTTACTCCTTTGCTTTCTTTTTCTGTGTGAACTTGACCTGTAATGCAAATTTTTCTGTAGCTTTATTGTTAACTTATAAATGAAAATCGTTCGGTTTACATAAAAACTCTTTATTAGTAAAATTAAATATATGTGTCTACTTTTTTTAAAGGAGAAATTAACGTTATTGAGTAGACAACTTTTCTATAGTAAAATGTTCAACAATTTTTTCTTCGGTTTTCAATGAAATACACACAATAAAAGAAGAAAAAGACTTGTTGTTATCTCAGACAACACCTTGAGTTATTAGAGCCGGATAAAATGGTCCTTCGACGTGAGAATGAAGACCAATTCCTCAAAACCTTTTTATGCAGAGATATTGTTTAATTTGTTTTATTATTTTTAAAAACTTAAGACAACTTAAGACAAACTTAAAAAAACTTAAAACATGTCACAAACTGGATATTGCTAAAAACTGTTTATATATCCTTGTGCCAATCTATATTAACCTACGATATTACTGTTTGGTGAGGTTCCAATATAAAACACACATGCTTGAATTGGAAAGAGCTCAACGAATGATTTTAAAAGTTGCACTTTATAAAACAAATTTTTTCTCAACAACCAGTTTATTCAGTGAAGCTAACGTGCTTACAGTACGAAAATTATATATATTGTATTCAATTTAAAAAAAAAACACACTTGCACTGTGTTCACCAATTTACTACTTTCGCCCAAAAGTTTTATGGGTACAGAATAGGCAGGTTATATAATAAGGTTAATAAAAAACACTCAATTATTCAACAAAAAAAATATAAACGTAAGAAAAAATTACCAGATTGGCTTATGAAATTAGATTACGAAGAAACAGAGAATTTACTGTAAAAGCGGAATAGTGAGATACACACACACACACATACACACACACACACACACACACACACACACACACACACACACACACACACACACATACACACACACACACACACACACACACACACACACACACACACACACACACACACACGTATATTTGTATGTAAGTATGTGTGTATGTATATATATATATATATATATATGTATATATGTATATGTATATATGTATATATGTGTGTATGTATTTATATATGTGTATATATATTTATATAAAATTTTGATTATATACTTTTATTATTATCATTTAAAACATATTGCATATTATATTTATTCTATATGACTTTAATTGTAAATTACACTTTGGAAATCTCATATTCGATCTCCACATGCAACGCTCACTTCATGTCTAAGTACAGTATCATCGAAAAGTATGTAATAAAGCCAAGAGGGGGAGCCAGGAGACCCATAGCACAGGGTAACCTAATTTGGGCTCCTGTCTCCCACAACTACTCAAAAACTCTTTAACTATTTATGAAACTATTGTAACTATGTAAAAAGTGGGAGAAATAAATGTTTATTATTATTATGAGTATTTTTGTGTATATACATTATCATCAGAAAATGTGTATACCAGAGGCCTATATTCAACCTTTGCATCTGTTACCAGGCCGTATGCATTAAGGCAATTATCGAGTATCGGGACGTAAGGAGGACATTACTTTCAGTGGCAAAATGTGAACATTTCTACAAGCAAATATTCGTATTGACTTCTACTTTAAGGGTAAATGGTGGCCATATTTATTAAACTGTACAGTTACATATAAAATTGTTAAAAATTCCAAGGAAAAAAACCATTTTCTCCTGTCAAAAATTTTGAGAATAATTTCTTAAAACATTGAAATAGAGAAATATATCAAAATTTATAAGACACAAGAGAGCTGTTGAATCTACAGAAAGTAGCACAGCAGTTTGCTCGTATTTTAAAAATAACGTCCAAATTAATTACGTAAGTTTAATAATTAGCAACATTAAGTTAAATGGACCAAAATGAGAAAGGGAGTAAAACGTATAAAAAACTAAGCTTTTTTTGAGTTGTGCAAAACCTTGCTTAGGTATTTTAAAAAATAAAATAAATAAAATGCTTTCAAAATGAATTCGCCTTATTATCAATTTTAAATTCACCAAAAAAGATTAGAATCAACATCAGTTACAAATCAGTGAAATATTAGAGCAATACGTCACTCTCACAGTCGTCATCCATCCCTTTCAGCCTTTAAAATGAAGTTTAACTTCCCCACATATTGCATCGTAGGCTTGATTTTGCCATAGTTAACACACTTGGCAGAAGGGCTGGCAACCGCATTTTTAATTATTTTGAGTATGAGTTTTTATCAGGAAGATGCTATTTCTCCCGGTTGTAATCTTAATATTTTCTGTTCAATATTTTTTACTGGTTATACAATCATTACCTTCAAATATTTCACCCTCTGTATTTTAATTACAATTATATATTTTCATAACAGTAATACAAAATAACAAACTAAAACTATCCATTTTATATTTAATATTTATAAATATAAATTTTAAAACACTTATTGATAAACTATTATATTATAATGTTAACGAGTATGAGTAAATAAAAATATATCAGAGCACAATCCACCCAAGATAGGGTGGTTTGCGCTGCAAATCAGTATTGCAGATTCTCAGAGTATAACAATGGATCTTGAGGATAACCGCAAATTATGCACTGGCTCTTTTACGTCGTACTTGTAGTGCAGTGAATGTATATATGGTCTATTTCATTTGAAATTAGTTTTTTTTTATTTTACCATTCATGCATCTTCTTTAACTGAATGCAGAAAAGAGGTTTCCATACGACTGTATTTTTTTGTAGGTATGTTTCGCGATATCTTCGTCAAGTAAGCGAACCGATTTTCAACGTTAAAACTTCTTTAGAGTTGTGTTTCGAAACTCGAAAAAACGGAAAAACGGCACTAAAGAGAGAAAACACATATACATATTTAGGATCTAGCCTGCAAGAGAATGAGATAGTAGAATATTATAATTAATATTTAGGCCACCTAGCGTCAATTTTCCGAACCAGCTAGAGTCAGTCAATATTTGATCAATAAAATGACGTTTACCTACAAAATAAAATGTTTTTTTTTTAATTTATTACACTAAAATTAAGACTACGTCTAAAAGTATTCTAACATTTATTTGCTAACAAAAATCTAACCCGGCTTCGCAAGTGTGATTTCTAGATCTCAACAACAACGCCACCTATCTAGTACAATTCTGAGTCTAAACCATCCAGGGACCAACCCAAACGCACAAGAAAAATTCATATAATTCATACATTAAACATTAATATGAGTGTCAGCGGTCAATACCGGTTTCTTCAGAGCCGGTGTGTGCTGATAATATTATGTCACCACCAAAACTATGACAGTACCATAATAGAGGAGATTAAAATAAAATATAATTCAAATATTATCAAAAATAATATAATTGTGTATAGCGATGACATGGGAAAATAAATTTCAATAACACTTTTAAGGTACAAAAAATTACAAATTGCTACATGCCTGGAGCATCTCTTAGTGACACTAAAATAAAATTATAGTTACTAAACTTTGTCAAAATAGTACAATAATAGTTTTGGTTGGTAGAAGAGGCAGGTTAAACAACCTGTTTCCAGATCTAATGAAACATAGTAATGTTAAACCTTTATTAAAATCTGGTAGTACATCAGACCCTGCCAATTTTAGATCAATTTCTGTACTACCAACTTTAAGTAATATTTTTGAAAAAATTATTTTACATCAGATGATAATTTTTTTTAATAAAAATAAATTACTCCATACAAGTCAATTTGGTTTTACAAGGGGTCAGAGTTGAGCTTATAAAACATATTTTTGTACATGAGAGAATTCAGAGGATGCTTTGGGTATATTTTGTGATCTTTCCAGGGCCTTCGACTGTGTTCACCACGAGACATTAATCAGGAAGCTACAGTGTTATGGTGTCAAGAACACAGCGCTTAAACTAGTTATTTTATATTTAAGTAATAGAGTGCAGAAAGTTGTTATCAATGGTAAAAGTTCTTCCGTATTACCCCTACAGATGGGTGTCCCTCAGGGCTTGGCCCACTCCTATTTTTAGTGTATATTAATGACTTACCTTCCCCTGTAGGGGATAATCATGATATAGTATTATTTGCTGATGATACTTCCTTGCCTTTTAAACTTAAACGTCAATCATTTAAATGTGACGAAGTGAATAATGCTATATCGAAATTAGTGCATTGGTTTAACTTTAATAATCTACATTTAAACGGCGATAAAACTAAATGTGTTAAATTTATAAAAACAAATGTTAAAAATCCGAGTACCAATGTGTTTTTCAACGTGGAAGAACTGAGTCCTGTTGAATTCTCTGTTTTTCTTGGCATAACTCTCGACGCTAAGCTTCAGTGGGGCCCCCATATACCTAAACTAGCAAGCAAACTAAGCTCTTCAGCTTATGCTGTAAAAAAGATTAGAGATCTCACTAGTGTCGAGACAGCTAGATTAGTTTATTTCAGTTATTTGCATAGCATAATGTCATATGGAATTTTGCTATGGGGGAATGCGGCTGATTTAGAAACTATTTTTGTTTTGCAGAAGAGAGCCATTACAGCTATTTACAATCTTAAACCGAGAGAGTCTCTTAGATAAAAATTTAAAGAAATAAATATATTAAATTTGATCTCTCAGTATATCTATGAAAATTTGGTGTATGTCCACAAAAACAAAGGTAGCTCTAGTAAAAACACAACCTAGTGATACCAGTTTCTCGACTCCACAGTAAGTATTTCATTCTTGAGACAATGTAATCGCTTTTTCCCAGAAAATATACAGGGTCTGTCTATTACCAAGTTTAAATATTTAATTAAACAAAAACTGTATAAAAAGAGTTATTATGATATAAATGAACAAATGGTTGATAATAACCCCTGGGAATGAGGTGATCACTTCCAAGCTGTTTCTGAAATAAATTTTGTAAATATTTCGTGACCATTGTAATTTTTTTTAAAAGTCCTATGGGGATCTTGTTGGTTCTTCCAAGGACAGAGGTTTTATTTTTGAACCAGTGGTAAAGTAAAAAATTGACTTTCAATAAGAATTACTTGTA